AGTGAGCAATGTGCGAAACGGAACAAGTGTTTACTGTGGAAATGCGTTCAATTCTCAGGATGTGAGGTTTCATCGTCAGGTCTATCGAGTGAAAACAATAAGGCTCTGACAGGATTCCGGATTACCCGCTCATATGAATCATTCAATGCAACAGCTAACATGACAAATGTCTGAAATTTTTCTCCCGGATGAATAACGGTTTAGTGTTTGGCGTTCAGTTTAGAATGGTTTAGTAGACACAAACGCGACCACAACTTTTATACCTACTCGATGAACACGGTTGAAAGAAATAAAATTAATCAGAATAAAGATTCTAACCGTCAGAGCGACCATGATTGTCCGAATCCACCTACCCACAATCTGTTCAGATATCCCTACGTACACCGGTGAAAATGCGGTCAACTAGTCAAATATTAGATTTAGTTGCTCCTTCAGGGTCAAGCTGAGAAAAGAGGTGTTTAATCATCATAAAAATCACTGCCCCCTGAAAACCTTGATCCTTCAGAAACTTCCATGTTCTCCCACGAAAATATTTGCTTACCTGTCAACACCTTTAGTTCCCGTTCTGGATTGAGCACAAGCAATTCGTATCGAACAATAATGCATCGTTCAGAACCAACTCGGTGGCAAGCTTGAATGATCTTGAGGTTGTCTATCATCCATGTACGCAAAAAGCCATGCAATACTTTTGTCGAACGTGAGCTCCACCTTCGGAACGAAAATGAATGAACCGAACAAATTTAACTAAAAGTGAATGAAGCAATCACCGAGTCCTAATGACAAGTTGTGGAGGTAAATGTTTTTAAGGTAACTTTGACCGTACATCTCAAGACGGCTGTGGCCAAAGTAGTTGCCAAAAACACTGCAGATAATCCACATTTTCTTAAAATTAGTTATGCTAACTGAAAGCCAGGTCTTAGCAATGCGGCTGGTGCCAGGTGAAGTGCAAACCATAGTTACTGATCTCCGAGTGCTTGACGCAACCCTTTCATGCAACTCGATACTTTACGAACTTGTCAAAAAACACGTTCTGCGTCTTTTTACCGGAGTGACCGGGCAAGACGAGAGCCAGAATCTAGTTCCAGGTCCAGGTCATACAAACGCTGGGCTACTGTAATACTGCGGCAACTTAGGCACATGGGAAAAGTGGAAGCCACCTATTGCAAGTTGTAACTCATGTCTGTCTGGTTTCAACAACTAATATGACTTTCTGTTGGGAAAGTGGCCGGCAAATGTTATGGTGTATTTTCGTACAATCAGAAGCAGTCCACAAAGTTCAATTTTTATGTATTTGTGCGAGTCAGTAGGATGTCTAAGTGGTTTCATACTACATATGGGAAGGTGGACAATGGTCTCTGAAACTCTTTGATGCGCTTGATGGATTCACTGTTCGAACGACGTTTGACCCAATATCAGGCACTGTTTACGGGTAGACCCATTCGCCATGATGCTCCAGGATCACACCTGCAACATTTTTACCGTATTGGTTCGCGCTTGCGGTATGACATATGTGACAACTCATTTGAAGTTTAGCACGAGAAGCCTTGCTGTACTAGGATGACAGTGAGGTTACCCACTATAGTGGAGGCTGAAATGGGTAGCCTATGCACTGTCATGCAATTTGACCGGCTTGGTGATTATCCTCCAGACTGAGATCCCAGGATCGGAATACTAAGAAAACTGGGGTTTAGCAAAACCCCCCCAATGGGGACATTAAGCCAAATTTGCGGATATCAGCGAACAGTCGAGTAACCAGTAATTTGAATAAGAAAGGCGCGCTCAATATCTAAGTGTTAATTTTGTCCAGCATGCTCTCCGAGGCCTGTGATGACACAAGAAGGACCACTTGGCTGACTAGAAAGCAGGTGAACCACGGAATCAAGAGTAGTTTTGGTGGAAAAAGATATCTTGGAAATCCAGGTAACTTTGTGTGTTACTGTATAAGGAAATGGAACGCATTGCGAATAAACCCACAGTGAAGAGTAATTTTCATTTTTGAGTTTGAATTTTTCTGACGGGGATCAAGAGATGCTTAAGCCCGTCTCAAATATTGCCGTTGTCTTCTGCTTAACGATAAGCACGCTTCGGTTTGTTTGAAGAATTTGATGTCTTTGAAGCATTAAAAATGGCGATGTTAGATGATAATGCCTGGTCAGCTACCGTCTTGTACAAATCTACATATATAAACCTTTTCAAAAGGATGTGAGGTCATATGAGGTCACCAAGTACCTTGGGTGGGCAGAAGAAATGAATGACCAAAGTTCGTTGAAATTTGAAGGCATAACCTCCTTCTAACCTATTGTGTTATCTTGTCTGCCTTGGTGCTAAGATATACGGTGACTTTTGGGCACCCGTTAAGGAGAACATGCTGCCGAAAATTCAGATTTTACCCATGAGAAAATGCACATGTAAACGGAAGAACACCGTCTGGTTTTCCA